ATATAGTTTGCAGTTATTAGTCATTTCTCCTCACTTTTACCATCTTCCCAGATTGTAATTCTCCCAAGTAATAGATATTTTGACCAGCCAGAAGCTCCTTTGAATAATATGAGCTTGTAAATAGATCTGGACTGTTAGAAGACATTGTGATTTCTTCTAGTCAGCCCTGTTACTAACCTGATACTGTAGATATTGAAGCTAATCTAAACTGGATTTAGGATTAGCGTCAGGAAATGAGGTGATAATTTGAGAATAAGGATGGAGATCATGGTCAACGGAGTTGATATGCTTTGACTTTCATGATTGATCTTGTGTTCCAGTGGCTTTTTTTGTGTATTTTTAAAATAGTTTTAAAATGGGTGGCATTCCCCACTGAATTTTCATGTAATAATTATGTTTGCTTTTCTCAGGAAATTCTTAACTTTAATAACTTTTTCATATTAGCTATGAATTGCTTTTAAATATGATTTAATGTTAATATTAAGTTTACAAAGATTTTCTTGTCACTTCAGAAAAAATATTTGAAATTTTATTGAAACAATTTTTTGATTTCTGGTACTAAAGTTATTTTCATTTTTGAGTAGTGGATAGTGGCTTATTTGGTATTTATTAATGGGTCATATCGCTCAGTATATTGTCAAAATATGTATCTCTTATGCAGCTTTAGAAATTTATGTGTTCAAATATCTAAAATTAGAACAAACTGTAGTTTCTGTGTCTGATCAGTTTGCCTTAGACAGCTAAGTCAAATTTCCAAACTTTTTATGCCCAAATTTTAAAAGTTTCTTGTTAAGACAAGTTAAGAAAATCAAAATATAAATGCTATAATACTACCGACTTTGACAATAACAAAAGAAATATCTATATATCTTTATCTGCTTATCTTTCTACTTAATTTAAAATAAAATAAACTATATATGCATGGCTTCATATTTCAAAGAAATAGAGTGCATATATTTTTCAAATACACACAACCTAAATTAGTTTTTTTTTTTTTTTTTTTTTTTGCGGTACGCGGGCCTCTCACTGTTTTTGCCTCTCACTGTTCTGGCCTCTCCTGCTGCGGAGCACAGGCTCCGGACGCGCAGGCTCAGCGGCCATGGCTCACGGGCCCAGCCGCTCCGCAGCATGTGGGATCCCTCCCGGACCGGGGGCACGAACCTGTGTCCCCTGCATCGGCAGGTGGACTCCCAACCGCTGCGCCACCAGGGAAGCCCCTAAATTAGTATTTTTATACTGGGGAGATTTTTAAAATGGTGTTGCTTTATTAAATGTATTACTCATGTTATAAGAAATAGAGGTTAAGGAAAACAGAGCATCTATACAGGTTTATCTTCAGTTTTCTAGAAATGTTAGTTTTATTTTGAGTTTGGTTTTCAGTGCTACTTTGTTTTCTATCTGAAAAGTTTTCTCTCCAGAAATGACCAGGTTCGTCACAAAAGAGCCAGGAGTAATGGTTGAGGTGAAATTTCTCTCTAGAGTATTGCCATTTGATTCTTATAATGTCTGAAACTAGTAAATATATATATATATATATATTTTAAGTTAACAAATGAACTCAACTTTGGCATCCCTCTTTTGCGAAGGCTTGACACATTGCATGGCCTGACTTGGCTAATGCTTGCTCTAGCTGTGAAATATAATTAACTGCTGATGAGAATATAAAAAGTATCTGACTTAAAAGCTGCCATATTCGCATCCCAGTATGTGAATCAAACCCAACTACCTCAATCCTTGCAACATAGCCAACTAAAAATGCAAAATCTACCTCATTTCTAACCAGGAGTATTGCTTAGAGCTGAGAACCAGTGATTAGAGGATGCAGTACAATCTGTTCTGTATGAATTACTCTGTTAGTATTATGATAACACTGGCAGCATTGCCCTACTATGTTTAGTTTTAGGGATTTATACTAACTCTGTCATTCAAGAGAGAGAGGAAAAGGATTAGGCCTTGGGTCAGCTAAACTTTGGAAATATTTTAGCCTCAGAAGCACCTTTTTCCCCATTATAAATCTCATACTTAATGTCTTAGAATTTAAATGTTTATCCTAGATAACTGTTACACTGTTTAGGTTTATGAAAATGTGTACGTATTTATCCCAAGTAAAGATGATGCTAGTTTTTTTCCACTGTATCATAACAAAATTTATTCAGAATTAATCTTACCTGGTCAAATGGCTGGTTAGAAATAGTGGAGATTATTTTAGAATGGTGTGATGCAAAAGGATTGAACTTCGTCAGGCGGTTTTTATCTTTAACCATTATCATGTACTTGCTGACAAAATGCTGTTGTGAAACTGGTTTTGACCCCAAACAATGTATGTGTTTGATTATCAGGCTTGAGCAACTCTTGACTTGTTCAAAAAATAACTTACTTTCAAATGATGATTAATTCCAAGTATTAATAAGGTAGTGGTAGTCAGACTAAGAAAACTTTATTCCAGATATAACCAGAAATTAGTACTGCTTCTCCACTTGTACCTGAAATAGCCACCTCTGTTTAGCTCTATAACTCTGATCTGAAAACCTGAGATCTCATCTCCAATTGAAGATTTTACCTTGAGACAATGTGAGAAAAAAGTGGTCACTTCCTCCAGCTCACGTTGTGATTTTTGCTTTTCATTTTAACTTTGATAGCATGGAAATCCACCTTATTTTCACAGAGTAACTGTCTGAGTTCTTCAAGTAGCCATACCATTATCTGAACTCATTTAAACACAGGTTGTGTTACAGCTGCTCAATGAGATATTTGTGAGTCTGTGTCATATAAGAAAGCCAGTGAGTTATCACCCATGATCTGGCTTTCCTTACTGTGCTGAATGACTGAGCAGAAGACTCATCATTGAGCTAAACTTTTGATTTTCTTTGGTGGCATAAGTTTAAGCAAAGGTAGCAGGCAAGTTAAACACATGACTGCAGTGTAAGCACACCGCAGTCTCCCTCTCATCTTTAGTGTCACTCTGAATTTATGGATGAAGCATGTGATCTCTGATACTGGCAAATTGAAGAATACCCTTCACACAATTAAAGTTACAGGGGAATTGTTTGCATACCAATCATTTTGTTTCAGACATACATAAGTATACTGAGCTTTGATGAAAATGTTTGTCTAAAAAGTGAGAAGAATGCCTAGCACCTGGTATAGTAAATGCTCAAAACCAATTTTATGAAAGACTGTCTACTATTTGCCAAGTCTCTATGAGGGATGCAAAGACTTAGGAAATATGGTTCCTGTTTGATAGTGTTGATGAGAAAGAAACTCTGTGTCCTGAAGAAAGGACAGGTATTAGAGTTTGTTAATAAGAGTAAAATAGGCTGCATCCATAATTCAAAGGTGACACTATGAGAAACAAATAAGATAAGGAAAGGGATGCTGCAGCGTTTACATTCCGCGTGCTCTAGAGACAAATAGAGGAGCTCAGACTGAGCTGCAGTGGCCACACTCCCAGATGCCTGCATTATGGGCCCCCTTCTCATGTTCATGGTAACAGAAAACTTACATTTTACAAATGATAATCCATAATTATAGGTGAAGCAAAAGCCTCTCTTTCTCTACTTAGGAGAAATTTCTGGAGAGGAATTCAGAAAAGATTTTAATAGTGAGCCAAGGATGACACCTGAAGGGGATGGAATTGGATTGTAAAGAATGGACATTCTATTATGTCTGTGACCTTGGGAATGTCATGGGTACTACAAACTCCCTTTGTGGATTATAGTAGCTTGTGTGACCATCTAAGTGTTCTTTTGAATCCACATTTTCCATATTGATGGTCATCACTGCGTGGGGAAAGTACTAAGGACTGGTCATAGTAGAAATCATGATCCTTTTTTGGTGACTTTTCAAAAGCATTTGTGTCCTATGAGTTTGTTGCTTTTTTTGGCCTCCGTTGTTCCCAGTGAAGGCCAAGGCCTCGTAAGTGATTGGATACTTAGGAAGTTTACCATCTAAGGGAGTCAGGGGGCTTAGGCAAAAATAAATAGCAGGAAAAAAAAGTGAGTTTTACGTGTGTGGTTATTTTGCAGTAAACAGTGAGTACTTTAAATTCAGAAGAGAGAAACTTTGGTTTTGGCTAGTTATCACTGAACGCTTAGCTCACTGGAAAATCTAAAGTAGTGTTAATATGCTTAATACTAAATCTATTAAAGTAGATTATTTTATTAAAAGTTCTAGCTGTGGGCTTCCCAGGTGGCGCAGTGGTTGAGAGTCCGCCTGCCGATGCAGGGGACGCGGGTTCGTGCCCAGGTCCGGGAAGATCCCACATGCCGCAGAGCGGCTGGGCCCGTGAGCCATGGCCGCTGAGCCTGCGCGTCCGGAGCCTGTGCTCCGCAACAGGAGAGGCCATAGCAGTGAGGGGCCCGCATACTGCAAAAAAAAAAAAAATTCTAGCTGTACATTTTTGGCTGATGATTTGGTAAATAGATTTTGGTGACTTTCTCTTAGAGATAGCATAATAAAGACTGTTTTGGCTGGCTGGAGAGTGCTATATAGAAGTTTCCCAGATAAAAGGGAGAGGAAGAGGCATGGAGTCCATTTACTAGACTCTTAAGACCTGGACTAGGATATTAGCAAAGGGAATGACAAGGAAGAGACTCTCAGTGGAAGAATTGCTGGAGCCTGGTAACTTTGGACATATGGAGATAAAGCAATTATTGACTTTTATTTAGTTTTCACGTGGCAATACACGAATTATTTTACTTGTATTGTTTTATTTAATATTCTCAACCGTTTTATAATATATAAGAACTGTTATCATTACAAGTTAATTAATTTGCTTAAGATCACACAGTTAATAATTATCAGAACCAGAACTTAAACCTTGGGTCTGTCTGAACCGAAGCCTTGCTATAAAGGATGCTGACTCATCAGAAACTAAAATAGTGTTGCTAACATTTTAATTTAGGAGACAGATGCCTATTAAAAGTCTTGGGTCAGTGTTGATTCTTGGCATACATATAACACAGACTTTCTTCTCTTTTTCCTTTTTTCTTTTGTTTTAGTGCGACTTCACGACAGCATATCGGAAGAGGGCTTCCATTACTTGGTGTTTGATTTGTAAGTACAACATACTTTGTGTTTGTTTATTTTTGCTGTCTATTTGAAGATCTTGAATTAAGGATGATTTTTCTCCAAGTTACAGTCCAAATGAATGACCCTATAATATTTTTAAATGTTCTTCAAATTACATTCAACTCTAATTCTTTTGAAATGAGGTGAATGCTCAGCATTGTTTATTTAAAATTTAAGTTAATCTTCATAAGGGAAACAGTTAATGAGTCTGTTTCCTTTGGGATTGTGATATCATAAGTAGTTCTCAGTTTTACCTTGGGGTACAAAGATGGCTGATTATACATAAGCATAATTTTCCATTGAAGCTTTTTGAAGTGTTTGTAACTTATTATCTTATATAAAAAGAAGGCTCAAGGACCCTTGAGGTTGGTTAATTCAGGGGTTCAACAACATCACCAAACTCCCATCTTTTACCCCAGCTCACTGGCTTTGTTCTCAGACTGGCATGGTTCAAATTATTACATGGAGACATGGTAATTTATAGTGGAAGACATTGTCTCTCTCTTTTTTTTTTTAAGAGTGAAAAATTCACCTAGTAAGCCTCCCATTTTTCATCTCATTGGCCAGGGCTAAGTCACATGCCTACCCCTCGCCAATCACTGGCAGGGAGAATGGAGTCATCAAGATTGACTTAGACTAATCAGGATTTATAAACCAAGCTTCTATCAATAAGAATGAAGGGAAACCAGTGCTCTTGGGGAGCAGTCCACAGCATCCCCTCTGGCTGGATGGGGTATAGTGAGACAGGCCATACACATTGCTGCTAGGGGTTAAATAAGAATACACTTTCTGAAAATCAAATTGATACTCCATATCAAAAATGTCCATTTCATTTAACTTAGTAATTTTCCTTCTCAGAACAAAGTACAGAGAAAGTATTACCCTAAATTCAGTTAAAGTTTATACTGAAAGCTGTTTATTGCATTGTCCTTTATAGTGGGAAAAAAAAGAAAACCAACTTATAAATCCAATAATGGAATCAGTTGCATAATTACAGTACATTCATATGATGGACTTCTCTGTAGTATTTAATGTGATATTTGGGGAATAAATAAGAAAAAAATTATTATTTCATGTAAAATGTGTCTAATGACAGGTTAGTACTAAGTTTGGTTAATTCAGTCCTCCAATGATGTCATTAAGAAACCAAGTTCATTCCATCTTTCTCTGTGTTCTTTGTAGTATGTGGGTTTGTCCTCACCCTCAGGTTCCCCTTAATGTTCTCAAGTTTGCTGCCTCATTTTCAGGTATCACAGTGACTTCCAAAGGCAGAAGAAAAGGAAAGATTAATCCCATTGCATATATTTTTATTTATAGGGAAAACCTTTCCCAGCAGTCCCTCAGAAGATAGCTGATAATGAATTATTGTTTAGAATTGCTTCTCATGCACATGTCTGAACCAAGTAGTAGTAAAGGGGATAGAATTACAGCAGTTGGCTTTGACCAATCATATATTCAATCTGTAGCAGGAAGGGAAGTCTTGCCTGTTGGATAGGCAACCAAACATGTCTGCCATATTGGTGTTCCACATACTTGCTAGAGAATAGACACTAAATCTCTGGATACGCACAGTCCTGCTGCACAAGGTTCTTTCCACAGTCACATTCCATTCATGGCTTGTTCATGTGGCTGTAGGTTGGCAACACTCCAAGTTGCACTAGTTCTTCTTTTCAAGTCTTCCTCAAAGCTCATGTTTTCACTTTTACCGTTGTTCTTTCTTGATGTTCCAGCATTCCTTCTTTTATTATTTCCTTTCTTTAAGAATTTCCTGTAGCCATTCGTTTAGAGTATAGATGTGCTAGCAACAGATTCTGTTTTCCTTTTCTGAGACTGTCTTAATTCCTCTTCATTTGAGAAGGATATTTTTGCTAGATATAAAACTCTAGGTTAACGGTAATTTTCTTTCAATGTTGGGCCAATTCCTTCTGGATTCTTTTGTTTTTCATAAGAAATCTTCTATCATTCTAGTTGCTTATCCCCTAAAGATAAGGTATTATTTCTCTCTGGCTGCTTTAAAAAATGTACCTTTGTCTATAGTTTTTAGAAGTTTGACTATGGTGTGTCTTGCCTTGAATTTCTTAGAGTTTATCTTATTTGATATTCACTTAATCTCTTGAGTATATAGATTTATGCCAAACTTAGGAGATTTTTAGACGTTGTTTCTTTGATTGCTTTTTCAGCCTCACTTTCTCTTCTCCTTCTGGAACCCTGATGACATGAATGCTAGATCTTTTGTTATAGTCGCATAAGTCCCTGAGACTCTGTTCAATTTTTTTTTTTTTTCCCCAGTACGCGGGCCTCTCACTGTTGTGGCCTCTCCCGTTGCGGAGCACAGGCTCCAGATGCACAGGCCCAGCGGCCATGGCTCATGGGCCCAGCCGCTCCGCGGCATGTGGGATCTTCCCGGACCGGGGCACGAACCCATGTCCCCTGCATCGGCAGGTGGACTCTCAACCACTGCGCCACCAGGGAAGCCCCTCTGTTCAATTTTTTAAAAATTTATTTTATTTCTTTTGTTCAGATTGGGTAATTTATATTCTCTTTTCAAGGTCACTTATCCTTTCCTCAGTTGTTTTCCATTCTGCTGTTGAGCTCATCAATTGAGTTTTTAAAATTTTATTAGCTACTGTGTTTTTATCAGTTCTACCATTGACTTTTGGTTGTTTGGTGTATCCTCTATTCCTTTGTTGAGACTTCCTACTTTTTTTTCATTTAAGTGTGTTCATAATTGTTCACTGAAGCATTTTCATTATGGCTGATTAAAAAACCTGTCAGGTAATTCCAACAGCACTGTCATCTTGGTATTGGTATCTGTTCATTGTTTTTTCTCATTCATATTGAGATTATCCTGATTCTTGGTATGGTGAGTGATTTTGTATTATATCCTGGACATTTTGGGTATTATGAGACTCTGAATTTAATTTAAATCATCTTTTTAACAGTCCTCCTCTGATACCACAATGACAGAGGTGAGGAGGTACCATCTTATTACTGACAGGTGGAGGTAGAAGCCCAGGTTTCCTACTCAACCCCAATTGACACCCTTGGGAAGTACCTCTTTACTGCTGTGCAGGGCTGAGAGCACAGGGTTTTGGTTTTTTGTGTTTTTTTTCTTTATTTAGTGAGAGAAATGCCTCCATCCCATTTTTTAAGACATGTTGTGATTTCTTGATAGGTCTAATTTGTCAGATCTCCTTTACAGTATAATCAAGGGTATGGCATTATACATTGGGATATGTCCTTCATGCTGTGATGAGTACTAGAATTAAAAAAAACACTTTTGCTAATGCTCATTACCTAAACCACCATTCAGAACTGGGTTTATTTTTTAATTTAATTTATTTATTTTTAAAATGTATTCATTTTATTTATTTTTATTGAAGCATAGTTGATTTGCAATATTATATTAGTTTTAGGTATACAGATTGTGATTCAGTATTTTTATAGATTATACTCCATTAAAAGTTATTATAAGATAATGGCTGTAATTCCCTGTGCTATACAATATATCCTGTTGCTTATCTATTTTACACGTAGTAGTTTGTATCTCTTAATTCCAAACCCCTAATTTGCCCCTCCCCCTTCCCTCTCCACTTTGACTAATTGGGTTTAATCACAGCTCAGTCAGAGAGAAAAAATTTTTCTCCACCTTCTTATGTTCAATGCATGAAGGCATGTGAGTTAAACTAAGAAAAGATAGTGATTAACAGGAGAAAAGGCACAACATTTTTATTAATATTTATGTGCACATGAGCTCACAGCAAAGAAGTGAAATTTGAAAGAAGCAGTTAGACTCAGGGTGTCAACTCCTTGTCTTAGATGGTAAGAATTGCTTAGATGGAAGCAGACACCTTCCTCAAAGGGAAATTTATGTCCTGCTTTTAGGCAGATTAAGGGCATGGAGTGGAGAATTCTTCCTGTATTTGCTGATTCTCACTTGCCTTTAGCTCAATATAATCCTTATGCCAAAGTGGCATATTTTGGCAGGGCATATCCTGATCCCCTTCAGCTCCAAAAAGCAATTCAGTGTTAGGCCAAATATGAAAGAAAGAGGCATCCTTCTTCCCATGCCATGCTGCTTTTCCACAGTCATCAAGTTATTTATATCCATGTTTTAAATATTATAGATTTTTAAAGGTAAGATTTCCTTACTAAATGCAGGGAATGATAAGAATCACATTGTTTATAATAAAGTTTATTTTTAAAGTGCACCATTTTTTAAAAAAATTCAGCACTTAGTAATTGGTGCAGAACATATAAAGAAAGCATTTCATTTGAAAACAAAATAAGATTTTTAATTACAGTGGATCATATATGAAGCAATGATATTTGTTTGTGCTATTAATGTCTCTGAAACCAAAATGTAGAGTTTACGTTTGAACCATAGTAACATGAGAAATCTGCTGTTATTTTGAAATCTGTTGCAATTATTCTTCAATGTTTAAAGTTTAAGAGGAGAGTTATCAGTAATTGTCATCAAAATGCTTTTCCAGTAAATTAGATTAATAAACTAGTTAAACACAATCCAGTAAAGCACCCAGCTTTAGACACAGTTGGAAACAATGGCTAAAAGTGTAGGTTTTCAGTGACTAAAAAGAGATTATAACAAATATAAATAAATAATTCCTCTAAATTATTTAATTGTGGTGGTGGTTTTCTAGGAAGAAGAAAAGTAAGTAGCTTTAGAAAAATGCACATTTTAAACATAGTTAATTTAAGAAAAGTATGATCTTAAAGATATCAATGAAATACTCATGGAAAAATTGGAAGTCACTTTGCCAATCAGTTCCAAGATAAAGTAACTACTTGAATTCCTGAAGAAGGAATGTTCTCTGTGTTTGTCCTTTTGATGCTGGTTTTGGCAATGTGGTACTTGTGCATACTTCCTGTGGAATGTGAGCTATTCAGAATCTAATGGGAAGTTCTATTTTTATAGGTGTGTTGAGTCTTCTTCTAATGGAATTCTTTCCTTTTCTAAAAAGCAA